AAAGTGTTTTTCCATCTTAGTCAGTGGATGTTTAGTCTGGAGAAGTCTTGGGAAGCAGATAGTACTTTGGAAAGATAAACATTCCTCTCTAGTCATTCTGCCTGTCAGGGGATAGGCAGTGATCTGCCAACCAGATGAGCTCAAAGTCATCCAAAAGAGCAGGGGTAGCCAATCCCTGGATAGAATCATCCTTCCTGGCACAGAGCTCCTGGAAGTAGGGACAATGGCAACCATGAGGTGTGCTTCCCTCCTCTGCCACCAGGAGTCTGCCATGAGCTGGAGAGGAAGGCAAGTCACCAACACAGCAAAGGTTCTGCAAGTGCTTGGGGCACTTGGCGACAACTTAGAAATGAGGGAAATGGATGGTCCCAAGTCAGTGATTCTTAACCTTTTTCGAGTCATAAAGTCATTTGAGAATTTGACTCTTCCCACCTCCCTCTCAATCTACATAGACGCGCTCTTTTGCATATAACTTAAGGAATTTCCCAGAACACCCTGAAGTTCATCTATGAACCTTCTGCTTTAGACTATAAACTCCTGGAGAGCAAGGACTGGCCTTGTTCTCTGATGTGTGTCTAGTGCCTACTAAAAGTGTCTGAGATATAAGTGTCAAGAGCAGAGGCAAACTTGCACTTGCCTGGCAGAGGCCAGGCCAGGTGTGCAAATGTCTGTGGCGTCAGTGTCTCAAGAGGCTTTGATAGTGACATCCCTATCACTATTCTTGGCATTTAAAGCCAGAGCTGATGCACTGTGAGCTCTTCACTTTTCTAACCCCCTGGTCCTGACCTAGTCTGGTGATCTGAGACATGTAGGGTCAATGGTAGTTGCAAGGAAGAGATGAGAAGTGACATTTTGAGGGTTCTCACATTGCTATCTAGTTTTTGCTGTGGATTTCCTATCAATTTATTCTAAATGCTTTTCTGAAGTCAATCATTTGGTTATTTACGTGAGTTGCATTTACTGAGCATTTTAGGGTCTACTGTGTTCCAGGAGGATACTTGATAGCTGCTAACATCCTTGAATCTAAATGAGGATCAGAATTCCAGTCCCTTTTTAACACCTGGTAAAGTCGTTATTTTAAATGCAAATTGGTATATGCAAATAGATATGAGGGGGCACTTCTCACCTTTGTTTGCTGCAGAATTCAAGGCACTAATGTGAGTGGATGCTGTGAGGAGTGCGCTCAGGGAGCATGCCAATGGTGCGAGGCTGGGGATTGGTGTTATCTACTCTTCCAAGCTGCACTGGATCCCCAACTCTTGCCCAGCCAAAATATGCTGCTGGTCTAGGTTAGTAATAGACATTTTGTCTTATTTTTTTTAATTGTCCAATGACTTTTTCTTCATTCTTATTCTTTATAACCTCTCCATAATATTTGGCACTGTTGACACTCCTACCGTCTTGGATTTCTCCTCCCCTGCATGATTCTGTTTCTGATGGTTTGCCTTCTGACTACTCCTCTTGTTCCCCATGGTGAATCCTTCTCCTGCCTTTTAACTGAAGGCCTTCGCTGAGGCTCATCCTTTTTTTCTCCTCCTTATACCCTTCTCCAGAGTATACGGTTCCACGTCCACTTGTTCACTCACTTCAAAATTAGACAGACATCTAGATGAGCTGGGAGGGGTTCATTCCACCTGTCAGATCCTGCAGGTCTAATGTGGAGCTCATTGTGGCTTTTGGTCAAGATAATTACTGCAGAAGATCCTAGGTGGCAGCAAAGCCCAGGTGAGCAGACCTGACATACAGAGGTGGCGCGAGGCGTCCCCAGTTGAGGTGAGTGCAGAGCAGCCAGCCATTCAGCTTTTCTGTGCTCTCTAGAGGGGATGTATCTTTGCCTTCATTAAACTTCTTGATATTTCTGATACAAGGGAGTGATTTTCCACTGAGTGCGGTAAAAATTTCTGAAAAAACATATTTTGAGAGTTAAATGATTGTCTTGCACCCTCATCTTACCATTTCCAGATTTGGTGACGAAGCCCAGGTTCACCCTTTGTATCATTCTTCTTGCTTTCATAAACTTTGAGTGTATCTGCTCTTAGTAATTTTCATGTGTGTGCGTATATGTGTATGAGCAAGTGTGTCTGCCATGCCCAGGGGTCAGAGCTTCTCCCTCGGGCCATGACCTTTCCTCCTTCCACGTTCTTTCTTCAAGATCCTTGGCAACGATCCATGCAAAACATGGATGAAGCTTGAACACATTATGGTAAGTGAAAGAAGCCAGATGCAAAGGACCACATATTATATGATCCATTTATATGAAATGTCTAGAATAGGCAAATCCGCAGACACAGAAAGTAGATTAATAGCTGTCAGAGTTTGGAGGGGGTTGATAAAAAACGTTCTTAAATTGATTGTGGTGATGAATACACAACTCTGTGAATATACCAAAAGCTATTGATTTGTACACTTTAAATGAGTGGATAGTATGGTATGTGAATTATGTCTCAAGAAAGCTTTTAAAAAAGAAAAGGTCCTTGTGCAATACAGACAGAGTAAGTTGACTGGAATGGCATCCACATGACATAACTCCACTGAGGTGGGGGCAGGTCTGGGGACAGACTCCAGAATCTTTGGTTTGCTCTCTAGACTAATAGCCCAGAGCAAAGATCCTATGAAAGAAATTTTGCTCTCGTTTAATTTTTCCTCCATTTCTGTGATTTCCCTGAACTCAGGTTCCTTCATAATCTCTTTAAGATCAAGAGCTATTCAAGGGCAAGTACTTTCCTATTGTCTTCGAAGAAAATAAAGATTCCTTGGAGTCCTACCCTCAAGTAATAACCATTCTTAACAGTTTGGCATATTCCCTTTCTATCTTCTTTACATACACATGTTTATATTTTCTTTATTATCTTTTTAAGTATCAATTTTGATATATATCAAAGAATACATTTAAAATTTACCTAAATCTAGGGGCTGGCCCCGTGGCCGAGTGGTTAAGTTTGCGCGCTCTGCTGCAGGCGGCCCAGTGTTTCGTTGGTTCGAATCCTGGGCGAGGACACAGCACTGCTCATCAAACCACGCTGAGGCAGCGTCCCGTATGCCACAACTAGAAGGACTCACAACGAAGAATATACAACTATGTACCAGGGGGCTTCGGGGAGAAAAAGAAAAAAAAATAAAATCTTTAAAAAAAAAATTTACCTAAATCTAAATTATAAAGCTTGATAATATATTGAACACCATTAAGCCAATTACCCAAATCCAAAACTGATAATTTCTAATATGGATTCATCTCCTAGCCCACGCCCTGCCTTCTCACCCCAGAGGTAATTTTGCGGTTATCATTTCCTTCCCTTTTAAAATCATGTTTTATTGCACTTGTAAAATGCCTGTACAATATATTATTTAGTTTTGTTTGTTTTTAAGTTTAAATTTTATAAATCTTGTTGTGTGTAGTACTCTGGGAATGCCTTTTTTCTAACCTTTCTAAGATTCATCCTTACTGTTGATTGAGCTGTAGTTCATTTATCTTATTGCTGTAGAATATTCCATTCTGTGGTCATATCACTATTTATTTGTTCTTCTGCCTTTGGACATTGATCTGCCTTTCTTTCCTTCTTTCCTCCCTCCCTCCCTCTGTCTGTCTTTCTTTTTTTCGTGAACATTCTTGTTCGTCTTCTGGTGCATATGTGCAAGTTTCTCTACCTAGGAGTACAATTATTGGGTCACTGAACATATGAATGGTCACCTTTACAAGGTAATGACAAATTATTTTCCAAAGCAATTATATAAATTTACACTCCCACTGGCAGCATAGAAGAATTTCTATCAATCCACATTCTCTCCAACAATTCTTATTGCCGTATTTCTATTGTTTCACAATATAGTGTTTATAAAATATCTTGTTATTGTCTTAATTTGCATTTCCCTAATTACTAATGAGATCAAGCGCCTTTTTGTACATTTATTGGCTATATTTCTTTCCTCTTTAGTGGAATTCAGGTCAAATGTGTGGTCCATTTTTGTAGTGGATTGCTTATCTATTTCTTATGGCTTTTAAGACTCAATATATTACTTATATATTGTGATACTAAACATTTGTCCATTGTCTGTGTCACAGATATGTTCTCCCTGTTTGTGATTTGTCTTTAACTTTATTTGGGGGTTCTTTTAATAAACAGAAATTCTTAATTTTAATGTAGCTTAATTTATCAATATTTTCTTTTTCACTTAGCACTCTCCTGATCTTCTTTAATAAGTTCTTTTCTACCCTGAGGCCAAAAACAACATTCTCTTCTCTTTCCTTCTAAAAGTTTTGATTTTTACATTTAATTTTTTTGTCCATCTGGAATGGATCTTAGTGTCTGATATGAAGTAGGGAATCCAATTGTACTTTTTCCCCTTACACACAACCAGGAGGACCAGCTTCCTCTCGCCCCTGACATGTATCACCGTTCCGTATTTGTGTGGGTCTGTTTCTTGGCTCTCCATTTTGTTCCAAAGGTCATTTTGTGTATATTTGTGCCAATACCATCTTGCCTCAGTCACTGTAGTTTTATTAGTCTTGATATCTGCTATGGCAAGTCACCCCACTGTCTTCTTCTTCACCAATGTCTTGACTATTCTAGAACCTTGGCTAATTTACATTTTACCCCCAAATGGGGTCATATTACTACTAGTTTATAACTTGCTTTAAAAAACTTAATAATGTATCATGAATATATTGTCATCACATATTATTGTAAAATATAGTTTTTAACGACTGTATGATATGCTGTTGTTTAGATGTACCATAATTTATTTATTCCATCCTCCATTTTTGGGTATTTAGATATTGGATATTTTGCCAAATTTTCATTACTATAAGCAATTCTGTAGTGAATGTTCTTGTGGCAAAATCTTTTTAACATATCCATGACTATTTCCTCAGGATGGAAGTAGAATTTCTGAGTCTAAAGTTTTGCTCAATTTTAAGGTTTTTTGTAAAAATTGCTAAATTATTTTTTAGAAAACTCACAAGAACTGTGTGACAGCGTAGGTCTCAAGGCAGGCACCCTTGCTAACGGTAAACATTATAATTTAAAAAAAATTCTGACTTGATGGGCAAATAATTTAAAACAAGTTAAATTTGGATTACATATCTAATTTGGATTAACCCATTCTATGTTCATATTCTTCTAATGAACAGACATGGGGCTTCATACACTGAACACTCCTCGGTACTATCTCTCTTTGTTTCGTTGGGGGAACTGAGCCAGGCCCCCCAAGCCCATGGAGAGTCAGACTGCGATGGTGTCGGAGTTTATTTTGCTGGGATTTCCTCTCAGCAGGTGGGTGGAGTGCTGTTTCTGGTGCTGCTACTGCCCACGTTCCTGCTGACGCTCCTGGGGAGCCTGCTCATCATCTCCATTGTGTTGTCCTACTCCCGCCTCCACACCCCCATGTACTTCTTCCTGTGCAACCTCTCTGTCCTGGACATCCTCTTCACCTCAGTCATTTCTCCGCAAGTGTTGGCCAACTTAGTATCTGAAGATAAAACCATCTCTTTTGCAGGATGTGTCACCCAATGTTATTTCTATTTCTTTCTGGGCACTGTAGAGTTTCTTCTGCTGACAGTCATGTTGTATGATTGCTATGCTGCCATCTGCTACCTTCTATGGTACAGCATCATTATGAGACCTCCTGTCTGCATTGGGACCATTGTGTTCTCTTGGGTGGGAGGCTTCCTATCTGTGATCTTTCCAACCATCCTCATCTCCCAGCTGCCCTTCTGTGACTCCAACATCATTAACCACTTCTTTCGTGACAGCGGATCCTTGCTGGCCCTGTCCTGTGCAGACACCACTGCCATTGAGCTGATGGATTTTATACTTTCATCCACAGCCATCCTCTGCTGTATAGTTCTTGTAGCCTATTCCTATATGTTCGTCATTTGACAATAGTGTGTATTCCTCCTCCAATTGGAAGGAAGAAGGGTTTTAACACTTGTGCTTCTCACCTGACTATTGTCGTGATTTCTGATGGCATCACAGTGTTTATCTATGTGACTCCGTCCCAGAAAGAATATCTCGAGATCAACAAGGTCCCTTCAGTACTGAGCAGTGTTGTGGCTCCATTCCTTAACCCTTTTATATATACTCTGAGGAATGACGCAGCGTTGGGGGTCCTCAGGGATGTGTGGGTCAGGGTTCAAGAAGTTTTAGAAAAGAGGATGAGGACAGTGCTGAAGAGCAGATTGTCCTCTAACAAAGACCACTTATGAGAGGCCAGTCCCCCCCCTCTTCACCAACGTGTATCCATAATACAAATCCCCGGTATTAGAAAGAGAGGACTTGCCTTAGCACATGGGATCGTGAATGATCTACAGTGGAAAGAAGACTGAGCTTGGAGACAGGGTCATGGACTATGGCCTTGGTTCTAACTTTAACCCTGTGGCTACAGCTGTGTCACTGTGTCACCAGCGACTCTAGCCCTCAGTATTCTCATCTGAAGTGCGGCAGGGCTGGACGTGATGATCTCTGAGTCTCATCCGCACTGAATATTCTAAGAATTGCAGAAGGGCTGTGCAGCATGTGTCTTATTGAATTCCCAACATGTTTGGCCCCATTTCCTCGTGGATCCGAACACAACTCTCCCATCAGCTTGGCACAAAGTCCTTCCTGGTCCCCTCTACATGGACCCTCTTTCCTTCCATCGTCCCTAGGGATCTTTCTAGGAATAATCTTCTTTATCCTCTGATCCACTGTCATATCGTATAATTCACTGTTTTTCTTCAGTGGACAAATGTAACGATTGTGGTGGATATATGTAGTCTGTGTTATTTAATAATACTGCTTCCTATAATAGAACACGTTCATAATATGCAAAATGCTCACATTTTTATGTAAGACATGGCCTTGTTCCTCCAACTGATGGATGCCTGGCCAGTGACCTATGACCTCTGTGGCTTTGCTGGTTTATATCTATAAACTATGCAAACAAATGTTTCATTTTTAAGAGTTTGAACTAAGAGATGCAGAGACTGTAGTAGACAATGGTGATGCTCCCCCTGGAAGCTCAAGTAGGCTTGATGGTTGGAATGGCCATTTTAGGGACTGTGTACAAGCTGCTGAGAAATGAGAGGAAACCAGTCTGTCTATCAAAAAGAATGAAGTTGGTGTATAGAGAAAAATAGAGAAGAGATAGATGAGTGCCACTCAGCTGCAGAGCCACACATGAAGGGCCCTCCTCTCTAGTGACTTCCCAGGCAGGAAGCTGGCAGTGTTTTATTTCCTATTCCTGCATTTGACGAGGTTTTTCTGTACCCATAAATCAAATCCTTTTTTATAGAGCTATTTTGAGAAGGCAGCCAGTCCTGGTGGTCTAGTGGTTAAGATTTGGCGCTCTCACTGCCAGAGCCCAGGTTCATTTCCTGGTCAGGGAACCACACCACCTCTCTGTCGGTTATCATACTGTGGCAGCTGTATGTTGCTGTGATGCTGAAAGCTATGCCACCAATATTTCGAATACCAGCAGGGTCACCTACAATAGAGAGGTTTCAGCAGAGCTTCCAGAGTAAGACATACTAGGAAAAAGGACCTGGCCACCCACCTCTGAAAAAATTGGCCATGAAAACCCTACGAATAGCAGAGGAGCATTGTCTGATATAGCGCTGGAAGATGAGAGGATGGTACAAAAAGATCGGGCAGGGTTCTGCTCTGCTGTACACAGGGTCACCAGGAGTAGGAGTCGACTAGAGGGTACTAATAATGACATATTTTGAGAAGGTGTTCATTTCTCATGACCTAAAAGCAGCTTGACTACAAAGCTCTCTCCCTGCACAAAGGGTAGCCCCTCCCCTTTTCTAGAAAGGGGAGGAACTAGAAAGATGTCTCTTTTCAACTGAACTCTTAGTCTGAGTTCTTGATACCCAAATACTGCCTGAGATCCTTGACTGGCACCATCTAGGCCTATGGTTCAGGTCAGTGCAAGCCAAACTTTTCAATGTCATCAGAAGGGCTGAGGTTTCCTTTCCTGTCCTCCTTGCCTCTAGCACTGCAGCATCCACTTTGCCTGAATTAACACCTGTGCTCCACTTGGAACTGGTCAGAAGGACATACACACACCTAAGGAAATTCTGTGGGTGCTGTGGAAGTAAACAAAGACCACCCAAATGAGAATGGAGGCTATTTATCCAGAGCTGGTGCTAGCAAGGGAGTCAGCCATCATCACTTGGGTTTGAGAGAGACTACAAAAGTAGGAAGGGATTTGGAAAGCTTTATACAAGAGAAGAAGGTAAGGTGCTGTGATAGGAGGTTTGAGGCATGAGGAAGCTGGAGGCAGGCTAACTAGAAGAGGGGCATCTATTGTGACTGGTTTGGGGAGCATATTTGGCTTTCTCTGATTAGTCCTGAGTTGGAAAGAAGTTGGTGAGGGGATGGGGGTGCAAAAACTAGGGAAGTTGGCAGGGCTGACCACGTCCTGACCGTCTGGGCTGACTGCTGCAGAGGTTGTGGGTTGGTTTCCCTGCCTGGTTGCCTCTGAGTTTGTGGGTCAGAGTTCTACTGCCATATATGGTCTGGCTGTTGTCCATTTGTCTATTCAGTGTCTCAGTTCTTATAGCATTGAAGGTTCTTATAACATTTAAAAATTTAAGCACATGGACAATCCTCCTAAAGCAGAGAACCAGAGTAATGGGTGGTGAAAGGTGAGCTCAGGTAAGCAGAGGTTAGTTGGGGGTTAGCAGACCAGGAGTGCGAGCTGCAGAAACCGAGGAGGTCTTGCATGTGCTGAAGACCCTGCTTCTTTGAGTGGACCCAAGCTCCAAGATTCAGGCCCTTTGACTGGTAGGGCCTGCCCAGGCACACTTGGTCCTAGAGGCAGCTTACTGTTGTGGTACATCTGGCAAAGCAGTTAAGGCTCTGAGGCCAGTCTTCCATGAGATTAAAGACACAGAGCAGGCGTGCAGGGGCAGGTTAGTGGAGAGAAGGAAGCCGGGGTTCCTCAGGTCGCTGAGGGGGCCTCAGAACCACATCCCCTCTGCTGGAAATGTTTCACTTAAAACATTTGGGGATTCACGACCCCTCGGTTGTCCTTTTCTTCTAGCCCCATGAATTCTTTAAACCACTCAGCAGAAGTTTCTGGGTTTGGATTTAAAAGCAGCAACACATTTCCAAGTTCCCACGGAGAACCTCGAACAAGCATTTCCATTCTCAGCCCACAGAAAACACTTCCTCCTTCTAGGCCTCTTCGTTCTTTGTGCGGTTGGTGTGCTTGTCTGTCTGTCTTCCCCAAGAGACAGCAAACACCGCAAAGGGCAGAACACTGGGGGTTGTTCATTGTTGGGTCCCCTACCCTTTTTCTCCCAGGAAACTGCATCAGTGTTTCTCACACTAGATACGCTCACTATTTACTAAATAAAGTGAAAATGTATGCAGTTTAGCAGTAGTCCTTTTTTAAAATGCAAATGTTAGCTTGGAGCTGGGTTGGGCCAATGTAACAGTTCAGCCCGTCAGTTAGGAGATGTGTAAAGAAAGGAGAGGGAGGAAGCCTGAGGGCACTGGGAGGGCCCCCTGGTGGTGGTGGTGGTGGAGGAGGTCAGGAAATGATAATGGGTTCAGATATGGGGATGAGGGCCAACAAAGAGTTTTTCTGCCTGAAAACTTTGCCTTGACCGGTCTGTACTTGCTCCCACTTTTACACCCATTCCATTTCCAAGGCCAAATGGGAAGCGCTTTTCCCTTCCCTGAGAAGACAGAGCCTTAAAGGTGGCCCGTCGTCTGGTCCTAGAAAGCCTGGGGCTAGGGGAAGTGTGTCCAGTTGGTCTCAGCAGATTTCTCTGGTCTGTGATGTGACTTCCTTTTCCTAATGCATCTGTGGCCCCCACACCCCCATTTGCCTGCGGCCTCCGTTAACCCTCCCACAAGCCCCAGAGGGCTGCTCCAGGCTGCAGCAGGCAGAACCTGGGGGGTCCCCAGGCCTCCAAAGGTATATGAGGCCCTTGGACTCTCGGCAGCTGTTGGGGAGATATCATTGAAAACAAAATCCCCTGCCAACCCAAAATAGCTCTCCACAAAGGTAGAAGAGAAAGAAAACAACTTTACTACGGAGTAAGACTTAAATCAGAATGTGCTGGGGCCGGCCCTGTGGCTGAGTGGTTAAGTTGGCGCGCTCTGCTGAGGTGGCCCAGGGTTTCGCCAGTTCGGATTCTGGGCACAGACATGGCAGCGCTCATCAGGCCACGCTGAGGTGGCGTCCCACATGCCACAGCTAGAAGGACCCACAATTAAAATACACAACTACTTATGGGGATTTGGGGAGAAAAAGCAAAAAAAAAAAAGAATGTGATGAACAGCACAGCAGTCCTGTAAATAGATTACAAAGACAGAAAGAAGTCTCACCTTCTTATATAGCCAAACAGATACAACAAATTACATACATTTTGTCAAGATAAATAAGTAGTCCTCAAGTAAGAGGACTTGACAACACCATTTGTCACACATAGTTCATCATAGTTCATCACTTGGTAATTGGAGTGACCATTTGTTAGCTAACTGGCTTTATCCAAAGGAAAAATAAACTTCTCGAATCTTTATGAGATAGGTAGTTTGGGAGCTAGGCGTCCACTCAAGTTAGATTCCCACCATCCTGCAGACAGTGGGAGCTAGGAACGCTACCTGCCTTGGGGTTACATTTCAAAGAGATGGTTCGCAGGTTCTTAAGAAAGACCTCTGGGTCACAAAGCTGTCCAGAGGCTTAGTTAGCTTTTAAAAAGATTTATATGCATTTCAAAGAACTTACAGAGAAAGAATTTACAAGTTTTTCAAGTAAATGTCTAAGAAAAGGGAGACATAGAAGTCTCTTCCCTTATTTTCAACACAGAGAATTAAGCCTCTTACCTCTTTTTTTGTATCTGCTCTTGCACAGCTAGCCCTCTGGGAGCCCCGCCGGAAGTGCTGGTTGCTGCTACATGCTTTGTCAGTCAGAGGTAAATGTCTGTGCTGGACCACCCATGAAGCAAGGCAAGCAGACTTGATTCCTGCCTGAGGGAGCTCACCCCTAAAACTGACATCATGGACATAAATCAAAATTAGGATCACCTTTGACTGGAGAGCTTCTTGTTTTTAATCTTTAATTATAAAAATACACATTGGTTGTAAAATTTCAGCCAGGACAGAAGTGTATAAAATAAAACATGAGAGTCCTACCAGCCAATCCCACTCTCCAGCACCAAACATTTTTATGCTTATAAAACAGATATGTCTTGGGACCGGCCCGGTGGCGCAGCAGTTGAAGTTCGCACGTTCCGCTTCCACAGCCTGGGTTCGTGGGTTTGGATCCCAGGTGTGGACATAGCACCACTTGGCAGGCCATGCTGTGGTAGGCGTCCCACATATAAAGTAGAGGAAGATGTGCACGGATGTTAGCTCAGGGCCAGGCTTCCTCAGCAAAAACAGGAGGATTGGCGGCAGATGTTAGCTCAGGGCTAATCTTCCTCAAAAAACAAAACAAAGCAAAACATATATGTTTTTCTTCACATACACGTAGCTTTTGTTTTAGAAAAGTCGGATGGTATTATATGAGTTGTCTGCAACTTGATACTTTAAAATATCTTTCCATGTCACTACCTATAAACACAGTTTATTTTTAGATGTTGCTTTTATAACCAATGGACATTGAGATTTCTAGCATTTTGTTAACGGTGCTAAAATTTATTAGCATAAATTCTTACGATTAGGACTTATGGCTCATAGTATGTGCCCATTTTAAATTTCAGTACTAGATTATTTTGGTGGTCTGCCAGATTGCCTACAAAAATCTAGTAACAATTTCCTCTCCCACCAACATTGTGTGAAAATGTCCATCTTCCTCACCACTGGCATTACAAGATATTGCCAATTTTACAAATTTGTGTCAATTCTACATGTAAAAAATAGTATTGTTATTTTCCATTTCTTCTATAAGTAGTGAGATTGAGTATCTTCATATGTTCGTTGGTTATCTGTATATCTTCTGTAAATTGCTTATTCATATTTTTGGCCCTGTACGTCAAGATAAAACATTTATTTTTCTGCTGGATTGCTTCCCGTTTTCTGGTTGCTTGGTATAAGCTTTTTTTCATTGCTTATCAAAAGCCTTAATATTTTGCATACCCTTCGATGCTGGAATTTTACATCTGGGAAGGAAATCATTGGTTAAGTGGGCAAAAATGAATGTACAGAGTGCTTAACACACTGTTTATGATAGAAAAACATTTGAAGGGATTCTAAAGTCCAAAAATAGAAAATTGGATCAATATATTATGGCAAATCTACACAATGGAATACAGTTAAGAATAGTGATATATTTCTTATATTCTATATTTATTAATGTAGAAAGAGGTTTATAGCAATGAAGTTTTAAAAAAATTCATGAAGTGCTTTGTCAGTATGCTTTAATTCTGGTAGATATATATTTACCTGTAACAACATATATGTGTGTATCTTTATGTATATACGTACGTGTCTATATATTCTGAGAATACATGTATACACATACATATATACATACATATGTATATATTAAAAATATTTAAGGTGGTTATTTTTGAGTAGTGTAAGTCTGGGTGGCTTTTAAAAAGTTCTTTTTCCTCCTTATTTTTTTATATTGAAAATATTTTGTTTACGTAAGCAAAGGAGAAATGCCTCAGCAATGAACCTCCCGGAGCTCCGATCGGGGAGCAGTGGGACCAGTGAGTCGCGTCACCAATGCTGGGAGTCAGACCTAACATCGCGTTAGGTTTTTTGGCAGCTTCATCCTTTATTGCTTCAAACAGCTTCCGGTCCACCAAAACCTTCATATCGGTTTAACGTTTTCACAAGGACTGTCCTTGCTTTACTTGTTTGGTTCACTTTTTAGTGTAAGAGACTTGCTGTTCATCTCTGCTCGTAGTTTGATCCTGTCAGAAGGCAGCCGGTGAGCTGTGTTCTGATTGGTGAAGCCTCTTTTCTTCCTCAGCAGGAGCCTTTCGGATAAAACCAATGGAAATTCACCTTTGAGAACTCGCTGTCCCTTAAAAGCCCCGTAGGTAATTTTCCTTGGAACATTTTCAAATCTGACTTCTTGGAATCTATGAAAACTATGTCTGACCATCCTTCTGCAGTAATCTAGTAAGTGAAATTGTCAGCTGAGCAAGAATTTCCTAGGTGCTCTGCCTCCAGCAGAAGGAGACTTATCTTGCCTTGGATTAGTTTTGCAATCTGAATTTAAACAGCATCATCCATGTCCTCCACTTATCTTAGCATCTGTTCTCTACTCCTACCTGGTTTTATTTTCCTGTTTGTTTCTTCTTTCATCCCTATCCATATGCTTCCATTTTCAGTTTTTTTATTTTTGAATATATCTCTCCATTTATTTGTCTTTTTTTTTTTTTTTTTGAGGAAGATTAGCCCTGAGCTAACTACTGCCAATCCTCCTTTCTGCTGAGGAAGACTGGTCCTGAGCTAACATCCGTGCCCATCTTCCTCTACTTTATATGTAGGACGCCTATCACAGCATGGCTTGCCAAGCAGTGCCATGTCCGCACCCGGGATCCAAACTGGCGAACCCCAGACCACTGAGAAGCAGAACGCGCACACTTAGCCACTGTGCCACCGGGCTGGCCCCATTTTCAGTTTTGTGATTTCCTTTTTGACATATACACTACTGTTGAAACTTTAATTAGATCTGCTTCCTCTGAACTATCTTCCCACGGTCATACTCTAGTCATGAGTTCCACATCATTGATCTTCTTGTGATAAAATTCAAGATCCTGTCCCATTCTAGTCTTCTATAATGCATCATTTTCAGACTTTAGGGTTTTACTAAAATTAATTAAAATTACAAGGAAAAAAATCCCTGAAATTGATATGTTTGGCAATAAGAAATGATATTTCCTCCTACTCCCAAACAATCTTAGAATATCAGCATCTTTTCATAAAAGAACAATAGTTTAATCCTGAAAAAGTTAGAAAGGACATAATTTCAGAATTTGAAGATATTATTTATTTCATCATAGACCATGAATACTTAGTCTTGGACCACCTCCAGTTGCAGAGCTGTGTAGGAAACCATTGCTACCATACATGGTTTTGTAGTTTTTTTGAGGAAGATTAGCCCTGATCTAACATCTGCTGCCAATCCTCCTCTTCCTGCTGAAGACGACTGGCCCTGAGCTAACATCCATGCCCATCTTCCTCTCCTTTATATGTGGGACGCCTACCACAGCATGGCTTGCCAAGCAGTGCCATGTCTGCACCCGGGATCCGAACTGGTGAACCCCGGGCCACCGAAGCGGAACATCCGAACTTAACTGCTGTGCCACCAGGCCGGCCCCTGTTTTGTAGTTTTATTTGGAGGCTTTTCCTTGAAAATTTTAGAAGTACATGATGCCCATATTTTGTGTTAGTTACTTCATAGCTTATAGGAGGCCCCAAAATCTTCTGTCACAAGTCACAAGCCCTCCCCCAAATCCTGTTCTTTGACACTACATTAGCTGTCAGGTGTTCAGCCTCATGCTCTTTCTTTTCCAAAGTCAGACTCTTCAAACAGAGGAGATGAAGGATCACCTGCAACCCCAAGTCCTTCGGAGTCCTCTTCAGTCACTAGCATATCCCAGGTTTCTTCTGGTTGTATAATTTTAGTTGATGCTCATAGGTGTCAACTAAAATATGAGGTTGCCAAATTATAACAAACTCTACATCAGGCCTCAGAAAACACTCAAGGAAGGAGCATCTAGACATTATCAAGACCAGGTCAACACAGGGCTCCTTGTATCCCTTTACAAAGAGCCACCAATCAAGAGAACCGGGTCTCATCTTCCTGGGTTTCAGGGAGGGCTCTGTGCATCTGTTGGCATCAGTGAATCCTCCTTAGTATTCTGTCTAGGAACATTTCATTCTCACAAAAGTGTCAGGCTGGGATTGTCTTTCCTCCTCAACCCTAGTGAAGAGCGATGTTTAGTAGGCTAAAGACAAAGACTTTTCTGGCATAATAATGCTGAACTTACGATGTGAAAAACAGTCATTATTAGCAAGTGAGGAGATGGTTTGTCTTGAGCTATTTCACCTGGATGGGGTTGGGACTAACCCTCAAAATCTCAAGTGTCTCGCTTGCTTCTGCAAGACAGACCAGGACCCTGAGGGAGGGGAGAGGAAGGGGGGCAGACCAGAGAAAGAGGACCCTGTATGAATTGAAATGTCATATGATGAGAAAAGTGAAGTTTTGCACAATTCATTGGACATTGTATTTGTTTTCAGCTAATATGATTATTTGCTATCTGGTCACAAACTGTACCTGCAGTTGTGGGCTTACAGCGTAATGTGTCAGAGTGGAGAGAGGTAGTCGTCAAGATTTCACCACCCTTTTGGCAGTGAATCCAGACTGCATTTTTAGCACACATATTTTGGTGTCTATTCCAAGGAGGAAGTTAAATTTAGCACATTTCCTGCTAGCCACTGAACAGCACAAGACCATCCCGGTCTTGGGTTATTCACAGCCCTTTATGTCTATCTGTGGAATCTCTCCTTGTAAACTGCTAGGACTTTGAGGAGCTTGAGTTTATGGTGTGAACTGTTATCACAAATCCTTAGAATTCACCAGGAACGATGTCAATTGGGTGGTATGTTCATAGTGATTTCTTAGTCCCGGCCCTGGGAATGTTAGGAATGTCCCAGTCAGATGGAGTGTGTGTAAGAGTGTGTGTGTGTGTGTGCCACCATGTGTCCATGTGGGCCTGGTAGTGTAAACAGAGCACTCTCTGTGACTTGCCTCAGATTCTTTTTGCATCTGCTCCTGAGGAAAGTGTTTGCATTGTGTGGGGTTTGGGAAAATCAGATCAGAATGTCGTGCAGCCTTCCAAAGAGAAGTGGTTCTGGAGCAAGCAGGAGATAAACTTTTGGGCCATAGGCCCTACTTCTCCACATGGGCCTTCTGGGTCAAGTGGCAGAGAGACAGGATCCCGTAGACGAGTGCCTGTAGACAGAGGGCATCAGAATCTTCTAGGGAATGTGTTTTAAATGCTGATGTCATGGTCAGACTCCATCCAGATTTACTGAATCAAACTCTGGGGAATACCACCCAGGAATCAGTATTTTAAAAATACCCCAGGTTGTTGTGTTATGTGAGCAGGTTTGGAGCCTTTCTCCAAGGGGGTGGTAGCGTCACTCAGTGTTGACATCAAGTCCTTTTGATTTTACCTCCTAAACATTTCTTGCATCTTTCTCCTCTGTGTGTCTACTAGCCACTGACCAAGTCCAAGCTACCAGTATCTCCGCCAGGACTGCTGCAGCAGCCTTAAAGTTCCCCTGCAAGGATTCATCCTCCTCCAATCTACTCTACAGAGCAGCCAGAGTGGTGGGTTCAAGTCTCAAATGAGTTTCTGTGACGCTCCCCACCCTACCCTGACCCTCACTCTAGATATTTCTTTCCATTGTTTTTAGGATGAACACAAGATTCTCCTCATGGCCAGAGGACCTGCAAGACCAGACCCCCACCTACCTCCTCAGCCTCATCTCAGAGCCACCGTCTCTGCTAATAGGCCTTTTCACCTGTTCCTCTCCACAGATGCTCCCCCAACCCCTTCACCTACCCTTCGTTCAGCCTCTGCTGTCATCACCTCTGCAGGAAGGCCCTCCTGACCTCTTCTGGGCAGCCCTTTTCAGTTGCAGTGTTATATCGATTTATAGCAATAATTTGATTAAGCATGTCTCTTCATGTAGAATGCAATTTCCCATGAAGGCAGGGACCCCATTTCTTCACAATTGTAACTCTGGTGTGTTGCATGCAGTAGGCTCTAAGTAATTACCAACTCCTCCATATGCCAGGGGTGGCAATCAAGCCATATCCAGTCCCAGAGAAGACGCAAGGTCCTGGGATGGGTCAGAGCTTTGTAATTATACCTAGGAATCCCATTCATTTGTTCATTCATTCATTCACCATGACAAACATAATATTCTGTGGAATTCTGGGCCTAGCTGGAGTCAGCCAGAGCACAGCAGGCCCCACTGGTAACGATCTGAGAACTTTTGAACACTTGGCAGATCTCATTTCTCTTTCAATCAAAACCAACATTCACTGAACATGAACTAGGTGCCCCTTGTCCTTAAGTAGCTTATGGTCTAGGGAGGAAAGACAGACGTTAAACAAGTGACCACAAGTTCATGAGTTTTACAAAGGGGCAGTTGAGTGCCCCATGGAGACACAGAAGAGGGGGAACAAGTCCAGTCTGGGGGGTCAGGGGAAGGCGTCCCTAACAAGGAATATTTGAGCTGAGACCCAGAGGATGAGTAGGAGTTAGGCTGTAGGGAACACTCCAAGTGGAAGCCCATGTAGAGTGAACTTCGGAAGAGAGGGTCATTTAATGGGCTACAGGGAGCACCCACTTCTGCCTAATTCTCCTCCTGTGAATTGGAGCTTGGCCCATCCACATTCCTCATCCACCCTCTGAGGGGGCTAGCTGAGATGGTCTGTGCTGACCTGGAGTCTGGGCTGGGTCTAGAGGGCAAATGCTGTGCTAAACGGGAGAGGGAGTGGCGAGGGAGCTGGTAGATCTCAGGGGCGCCTTGGGACTCAGGCATCACACGGGCTGTTGTGAATTCAGCACCACTCCCAGCTCTCCTGTCGGAGCAGTATTAAACAGCACCACCACCAGGTTTTTACTCATTTCTTTATTAATATAGAAAAGGAGCCCAAGGCAGCTAGACCAGTAGTACAAAGCACCAGGGGTTAATACTATTCTGGTGAAAGGGTTGGCTTTACAAAAGTGAAGGAACAGGCAGGAGCTGCCCTGGTTCTGGGGCCAGGCCCAGCCTATTGCCCAGAACCTCTGAGCAGCACCTGGAAACAGCCCCTGGGAGAGAGTGACAAGTAGGTTGGGGGCAGGATGAGCTGGAGACCAGGGGGACAGATGGCAGAGATGGAGGGCCAGGCAGTGAGAACCATCCTGTGGCTGCTGAGGACAGGAAACTGCTGGCTTGAGGTTCCCCACTAGACCGTGGGCAGGGGCTCACGGTGGACCTCAGCTCTGGGGGCAGGTAGAGAAACCCTGCAGATACTACATAGCATGGAGAATCCAGACCCAGCCCTGGGGCTGAAGGGCCTTTCCCTTCTCTCTCCACCAGGGGCCACCTTTGCTCCGTACTACAGGTGGGGCTTCAGGGCCCAAGGCACAGAGGGAGGCCCAGAGGCCTCCCAGTTGGGAAGAGGCAGAGAAGGAAGCGCTTGAGTGTCCCCAGCTTAGGCAGCCAGGACTGAGACACGGCAGAAAAACAGCACCCCTGTGAAATGGGGCTCCAGTCTGGGGCAGGGAGGGCTTACCCTCGGCCAGTGACCAGGGCCAGCCCCATGGCAATGGTGCCTGCCTTGAACCTTAGCAAATGGAGACTGCAGACCTGGGTTGCAGCCTTAGCTCTTCCTGGAACAGAGCTGTATCACCATGGGCCAGCCATGTGCTGTTCCTCCTCCATTAATAAGGGCTTTGGAGATGATCTCTCAGGTCATGGGAAGGACTCTGAAGGTCAAGGGAGCTCCAGGACCTGCTCTTGGTAGTTAAGTGGGTTCCCAGCAGACCCTGGATGGAACTGTCATGGCACAGAGGTCAGGGGGTGATGGAGGAAGATGTTCTTGCATGGAAACTACCCCCACAAACACTCCAGAGCTACGAAAGGCTGCTGAGAGTCTCTCCTGCACCCAGGGGAAGAGAGGCCACCGTCCCCTTGGCCCAGGGAGGGAACGTGGCTCAGTGCAATCTCTTCACAACTACCATCTGGGTAACAATTGGCATGAAGAGAATGGGGTGGCATTATGCAACCCTTTATATTCTTCTCTGGGGTGGGGAGCTCAAGGCCTCTTGTGGCTTCCGCCTACAGCCCTTAGTGTGGGGTGAGGAGTGCTCTTCTTCACTCTGGTCCTGCCCTGGGGACAGCCCAAGATTCTGCCTGGCTGGCACGTTAGTTGGTGAAGAAAGGACAGATGGGTGAGTAAGCAGACAGGGAGGTGAGAGCAACTCTCTGGCTTTCTCCTCTTCCTCTCGGGAGAGCAGCTCAATCAACGGAGTCACAGATCTCTTCTACCACAGCATTGAAGATGTGTGGCTGGTCTGCATAGACATGGTGCGAAGCACCCTCAATCTCCTGTAGAAAGAGGAACCCGCCAGTGGTGGGAACGCCCTTTACTCCAGGTACTGGAAAGCTGTTGCACCATTTCTTCTCCCTTAGACTTGCTTGCCTGTCACCCATGAGCACTTATCAGAAACAAGGGTGTACCTTTCTCCCCAGATCTTGGCTCTTTCCTGTGGGAGCCAATGAATCCCAATATCCCATTCTCCTTCCTCTATGGCCATTCACTGTATCTTGCCTTCCACAATAGCCCCACCACCAATCTGCTCATTTCATCCACAGGTCCGGTATACCAGGGCCCATTAGGCACCCAGCCTAATTAAGCACATTCATTAGCAAATGAGGGTGGAGGTGGGTAAGAAAAAAGGGAAGGTGGGAGTGTGGTAGGAAGGCTTCATGGTAGCCTCTACTATTCGCTCTCCTATTCATGACTCTGATTTTGGGTGAGAATTATAGGAGGGCTGGAGTAGCAGCATGATGTCTGGGCCTGGCTACTAGACAAGAACCTGGCTTTTAGCTGAACTGGGCAACACAGAAATAAGAAGCCCCTAATTATGATACTATAGGGAGCCAACCCTTTCAAACCCACTGCCTTATCCCAAACTGTCCATTCCTCTTTCCCCTCTGACTCTTCCAACACTCTTCTCTACCCCACGGCTCATCCATGCTGAGAGTCGATCAGCATGTGCTGGCATTCAAGGCACATTTCCACCCCAACCTGCTCCTCGGGTGGCCAACGTACCATGTCTCGGACATAGGAATCCGGCCGCTGCAGCTTCACCTTTTTCCCTGTGCTGGTATCTATCCAGGTGTTGGCCCCATAGATCATGGTGATGGGCACATCTTTTCGAATCAAGTGAATTCGCTCTAGCATGGGGCGCCGGGCCCAGCCAAAGGACTCCATCATGCTTTTGAATGCTGTCTCCCCACTGAAGAAGCAAAACAGGGTGAGGCAATTAATAGAAGAAACCTCGTGTCATAAAATGTCAACTTGCTGGTCTCTTCAGAGGCAGTATCTCTGTCAGCTTTGTATTCCTCTCAGAGCCCAACACCGGGCTCATTAAATGTTGGTAAGATTAGGAGATGGGACTGAATCGCCAGAGGCCTCTTGACACAGAAGAGTTAAGAGGGACGCACTTGTGAAAACTCCCATGACACTGAGCATTGCCCAAGAGTGCAATGGGTTAATGTTTATTCAACAAATATTTACGCGTCATACCCTGAGCTGAGTGCAGGGACACAGGAACAAGACAGAAGTGGGGCCTGCCCTCCTGTAGCTCACACTTTAGGCATTAAACAATGTAGCGTACACCTTAATTTTCTCATCTACAAATTGGAGAGGAGTTATAGCCACTTTATTAGGTCATTGTGAGGAAAATGAAAATATGCACAAAGATCCTAAGTGTAGGTGAAGCTAAGCAGGGTGGCTGCCAAATATTTTTCCCTGGCCAAATTCACGTTTTCCAAGGGAATAGTAAGAGTTACCACGAGCTTGTCAAGGTTACAGTTCAGAAACGCTCAGGGGTTATAACATCGTGTGATGGTGTTTGGTGGGAGGGGACTGGTTATCACTGATGTCATCTCTGCTTCTTCCAGCACATGATGACTTGCACGATGATATATTCTGTGGCTTAGTTTGGGAGGCCATTCACTATGCAGAACTACGTCTGGGGCTGGGGTACGTTCTGAGGAAAGGGCTAAGGTTGGGCCTGTGGGGCCTTAAGGGGGTATGAGACTGGCACTGAGCCCAGTGGGGGCTGAGGGACTAAGAACAGGAAGCAGGGGCCTCCCCGATTTGACTGCTGGCCGAGTTTCCATACCTCCGCCTAAGTGGGGCCCTTCGATAGCTGAGCTCATGAGGAATGTCGGTCGGATGGACAGTTCCCACACTGCCTGAAGGCTGTCTGGGTTTGAGGCTAATGCTCAGACAGCGCTGTTGGAATGCAAATCCCAGCCTTCTTCACAGCTCTGGGCTCAAACGGAGGAACTGGGCAGGCCTGGAATGAGGTAGGGCAGGGGTGCTGCTTCCTGTGACCTTGGCTCCCCTGAGATAACTCTCAGCAACTTGGGGCGAGGCCACTGCAGAGGCAGTGCCACCAAAGCGGCCTCATGGTATCAGTCACTGCCCGAGCGGAAGATTACCTCCCTGACTGCCCTGGCTCTCAGTTGCCAAGACTGCAGATCAGCAGGCTTGGTGGGCCTACTGTGAGCAGTCATAGATAAGAATGTCTCAAGATTCCGGGGACAGCCCGAAATCTCCAAAAGATAGGGAAGGAGTTCCTGTCCTAACAACAAGTATTTCAAGGTATGTATATTTAAATTTTAAAATGCATACTCTTTCAATCAGCAATTCTATTTGTAGGAATGCATTCTATAGATACAGTCATGTGTGTGCAAAGGAAGATGTGCAAGGAGCTTCTCTGAGGCACTGTCACATGACATCTCAGACAAGAAATAACAAGGAAATCTGGGAATTGCAGATCTGGGAAAGAGGAACACTTCAGAAGACTTCTTTCTTTCTTCCTTTGCTTTTATAAAAATGCCATGTTCGTTTCACTTTTTCAGTTAAAAAAAACACATTCTTTTCAAATATCTCCCAGACTCTTGCCCGTCAGGCTAACTGCATATCTCTGGGGAAGAGTAAGGGTCTCCTCTAGACACAGCGGCATGTTGAATGAATCTAGTATCTTCTCTATCCCTTTGTGCCTATCCCTGGGGAAGTCTCTGGAAATGATCAACTCTGCTAATGCCTGCGTTCCCCTAACTGAACGAGAGCTTTGTGGAAGAAGAAATACAGCACAGAATGATCCCGGGACAGTTCTGGAGTTTTCCAGCAGCTGGAGCTTTATCTCCAAACCCGTCCATCCTGAGCTGGCTCTGGGAGCTGCCCTCACCTGGGATTCTGTGCGTTGCAGTGGTAGATATACTCTGATATGGTATCGTCTTCAAAGAAGTCTGCAAACTTGCGCTTGAAGTCTGGTCGGAATCGCTGCACCAGGCCAGGCCCTGGGAGGGAACAGAAAAACATGCAGTGGCCAGTTTGGGTGGTGGAAGGACTCCTGCCTGTGTCTGCTTTTAACAACTTTAACCAAACATCATTTCTCCTAAGGGTTTGTTTGCTTTGTACGTTTAACATCATAGCGGCAGAAAGCGTGTGTGAGTCTTTTGGGAAACGCCAGATGATTACAAATGAGAGTCAGCTGGTGACCAAAGAATTTAGACAGTCTAATGTCACTGAGGAACCAGATTATGTTCAGCTCAATGAAGTCCCTAGATCTTTTCCTTCATAGATCACAAGCCCCACAGGAGTCCATGGTTGAGACGCTTTTCTTTTACAGTCTGAGCTATGTTCTCTTTCTCCCTAAGACCCTTATGGCCTATAATAGCTGAAGGTAGTGGATGAAACTCACACCTCCCGAGAGTCCTCTCATGTCCAGGCCTGTAAGAGAATATGAGTGAGAGGTAAACGTAACACTGGCATCTCTGACTTGGGGCACAGTTTTCGAGCAATCCGTTCGCTTCACCTTTCTCTATATAGTACATACACAAGCAGGAGGGCACTGAAAACAGACTGTAAAAATTGGGCCTATAGGTCAACTTCCGACCTCGCTCTCTCTTCTGGTCTTCTTTCTGTACGTGAGAAGCAAGGGGTGAGGGATGCACAGCTGTGATCCCGTGGGGCCTGGCCTCCTCCACAGCTGCCAGTCAACCTCCCCAACCATACTGGCTCTGATGCCCATGCATGAACCTGGCCAGATTCAGGTCCAGAAAAGGGACAGTGGTTAGAGAAGGGCCTCTCCCTGGAAAAGGATCAGAGAGACTCTGCTAGAGTTCCCAGTGCTGGGAGCTCTAAGAAGGTCAGCCCCCTGCACAGTTACTCTCCTTTGACACCTGTGTCTCTTGTTATCCTTCCTTTCTCCTAAAACTCCTAAACTTCTGCCTTCTACTCAAATGCTCATTTTTCTCTTTTATACAGAGCCATCTGTTTCTCTTGAAGGATGTAGAGAGACAACTCTTACTTAGGCATTAACAATTAAGTCATAATTGGCTACTGAACCTCTCTACGTATACATAAGTCATCAGTGCAAGATAGAGAGTCACCAGTCTTTTCCAGAAAGGGAATCTGCTTTTCACTTCATCAGAGTAAAAAGATCCCCAGAAAGGAAGGTGTGAAGGCAGAAGGCTGAGAACTACTCATTCTACTTACTCTGGCTTACTCTTCCCAAACTCCTTCCCTCCCTTCACCCACAGAATTTGTGACAGCCCCTAAGTGGTGAAGATGTGGTGTTTGACTGGAGCAGGGCACGGTTTAGAGGGGCCCGCCTGCCACTATGGGTTATGGCGGAGGCTCAGGTTCTGATATCTCCCTGCTGCAGGTGCTAGGTGAGCTGTGGAGTTAGGATCCAGGGGTGGCTTCCATGCTCAATCACCAACAGCTTGCCATAAACTGACACGAGCAGCACAAGAATTCAGTAGAGCAAGAGTCACCTGAAGGCCCCTTTCTCTCTCTCTCTGGGGGTCTAGCCAAGGCACAGAGTAATAGTTCTGCTCCGTCTGTCCCTTGCATAGGTAAGGTTTTCCCATGCAGCTGAAGGGGAAAAAAAGACCCTTGTGAAACTGCAGACCAAGAGATCTGGTCCAGATTAATAGCTTTAAATAACAACGCTAGGCCCTTTCTCACTTTTCATGAACAAGTAGGGTGGGGATGGTCGAGTCCAGATGCGGTGGGGCTTCTAGAAAGCGACAGCTTTGGTTTGAGGAGATAGTTTGTTTATCCGCAGGCTACTTACCCCAGGGCCCAGCTACTCGAAGAACAGCCAGTGGATTGGAACGCCCTAGGACAGAAGCCACAGCCTTTACCCAAGTTGGGGGTGCACGGATCTCACTGGGGTCAGTCGGTCGGAGGGGAAAGCCCCATGGGTCCACCAGGATGAGGTGTTTAACTCTAAAAAAGGAAAAATGAGAAGACAAGTTGCATTTTCTTAGAGATATCATAGTCCTTAAATCCCAGGAAGAAGAGAACTATTGGAAACTAATCCTGGAAGGTTCCCAGCAAGGCAAGGAATTAGGTCATGAGCGAGAGGGGTGGCTCCTCCTTACCTTTCAGGGTATTTGATAGAGTAAGAAGTGGCCAGGAATCCTCCCAAACTGTGCCCCAGGAGGATCATACTGGGGATCCCCATGGTCTCCCGCCATGTCTCTATTGAGGTCACAAACTCGTCCTCGGCCCCCTCTGGGTCCCTCGGGAATGCTGGCCTCGAGCTTCGTCCAAAGCCAAGCAGATCGAAGGTGTGCAGTGTGCGGCGGGCACTCAGTGAATCCATGTTGAGGATCCAGAGGCCCACGCCGCCCCCGAAACCGTGCACCATCACCAGGGGGGTGCGGTCCCTGAGCTCGGGGCTCACAGTCACCGTCCAGATCTTGTTCTGGTTGGGGAGGGACACATATCGGGCCAGGAAATTGTTCTGGAGACCTGGGGAGAGGGGAATCCAGGGCAGAGCAATAAGACTGTTTTCTGACAGCATCATCATTTTGCCTGGACTACCTTTCTCTGCATTTCCAAACCCTTCCTGACCTCCTTCACCCCTTTCCTTTCACAGCTCTCTGACTGTACACGCCAAGAGCTCAACTCCAAGCACAATTTGTAGATCACCTAGACTGTAGGTAACAAGAGGGACCATCTTATTCTTTGAGGCTCTTTGCCCAGCTCCCTGTGGACCCAGGGTGGCAGTGACGCTACTGATGCCAGAGTTCCTACATCCATCACCCTTGTGTCTGTGTGTACTTGAGGCTTAACAGATGGACAGAAATGGCCTCACTGAGGGTATGTGGGAGGGTAGTTTCTGACTAGAGTTGAGCCAGATGGAGCAGGTGAAGGGTGTGGACTGAACCACAGGCTTACTCCTCTTAGAGACAGGTTGAGGTGGGCAGTGGTTGCCCTGCTGGCATGAGAGCAGTCACGTGACAGAGCTGCCTGGGAGAAGTCCCCTGGATCCTGGATCCTGGACAGAGGCTTGAAAGCTGTGGCTGTCCTGCAGCTGTGCTAACTCAGGCCCATAGGAGAGAGGGCAGGGGCTGGCCCCATGGCCGAGTGGTTAAGTTCACATGCTCTGCTGTGATGGCCCAGGGTTTCACCAGTTTGGATCCTGGGCGTGGACCTAGCACTGTTCCTCAAGCCATGTTGAGGCAGTGTCCCATGTAGCACAACCAGAAGGACCTACATGTAGAGTACACAGCTATGCACTGAGGGGCTTTGGGGAGAAGAAGAAGAAAAAAAAACTGGCAACAGATGTTAGCTCAATCTTTTTTTTTTTATAATTTTTATTTTATTTTATTTTATTTTATTTTAGGAAGATTAGCCCTGAGCTAACATCTGCCACAAATCTTCCTCTTTTCACTGAGGAAGACTGGCCCTGAGCTAACATCTGTGCACATCTTCCTCTATTTTTATATGTGGGATGCCTACCACAGCATGGCTTGACAAGTGGTGTGTAGGTCTGCACCCAGGATCTAAAGCAGCAAACCCTGGGCTGCCAAAGCAGAGTGTGTAAACTTAACTGCTGTGCCACCTGGCAGGCCCCTAGCTCAATCTTAAAAAAAAAAAAAGGGAGAGAGAGGGCAGCCATGGCTGGGGCAGTGGGTGCCAGGTAGGGAAGTTCATATGGGAAATAAGAGGAGACGTGGCCCAGGGGTCTTGTTTGAGCCATTGGCTGCTGCCGCTCATGGGGTGCCCTGCCCCAACATAATCCTGACATGAGAGCTGTTCTGTGGGAATCCCAAACTATTCTGGTAACCAGATAAGTGGGGGGCCTAAGTGAGTACAACACAAGGAATAGAATTATTAGAGAATACAGGACTGCTGGTCCTCGGATGGGAAGGTGGAAAATCTAAGAAGTGCTTTTGGGCTTGGAAGAAGAGGGAGGGAGAGAAGGTAGAAGGGCAGGAGAGAACGCGTATTTGCATGTGTTGTGTGTTAATAGCTGGTGTAGGGTTTGACGTGAGGTTGTGGGATGATGGACAGGGAGGGAGACACCGAGGAACCACTATCATAAAATATGGTGTTCTCTGTGCAAATATCGTCCCTCAAATCGCTGACCTCCCTTCCTCCCACCCCAAGCACTGTTAATCAGGAAACAGTGGGCTCAGTGTACCAGGCTCTGGGAAAATCCTGTATCCTCCTTGGGCCTCCTGAGGGAGGTGGACAAGTCGTCCCTTCTACTTACACTGGAGGATCCTGGCTTCCACATTCTTCAGCTGAGACATCGAAGTGGGTCGCCAAGTGGGCAGCCAGCTACTCAGCCAGCCTTGAGGCCTGGGACAAGGAGACACAGAGACTCATTGGCAACATTGATGCTCTCAGCCTTGCTGACAGTTACAAAAGAGCTATCAGGGTACAGGGTGTTTCCCAGGCCCAGAAGAACTGCCACTCTGGCAGTCAGCAATTCCCTTGCTGCCTGATAGACTGTTACTCTTCTCTGGTAAATGGCTACTAACAACAGCATGACATTTGTTTCAACAGATACTCAGAGCACCATATGCACAGCACTTTACAGTTTACAAAGCTCTTTCACATTTATTATCTCATTTGAGCTTTACAACCTCCCTTTGTTACTGGTTATCACATTGTTCAAGGAGATTACCGGGGGAAAAAGCCAACTTTTAACTACTATTTCAGGACTGGATGTTCCTTTAGGGTAGGACCAATTCCCATGCCACTTGCCTTTCTGGCAGGGCACTGGGTTTGTGAGTGTCATTTTCCAAGTCCTTGGAAGTACAGAGCACTGTGTCAGTGGCCAGTTGGGCTCTCAGGCAATCAATCAGTCCAGCCTTGAACAAAGAGGTAGGATAGGCAGGAAGCAGGAGGCAGAAGACCTGGGTTCAAGTCCTGCTATGATTTACTGACAGGACACAGGTTGCTTCTGGCCTTGTTTTCCAGATGATAAGATGAGTAGAAAGCTCACGTATGTCCTCACCTCCAATGGCATGCAGTAAAACAGATAAGAAAGTCCTCTTTTATATCCAGGGGACTTCAAGCCACTGCAGGTTAGAGGTTAAAAGAACGAGTTTGAGAATTTAAAAAAACCCTGGATCTGAGTCACAGTACTATAATTTATGAGCAGAATGGCTTTGGCCTGTTAAATAACCTGTCTTTGAGTGTCTAGATATGGAAGGGACCTCATTAGGTGCCTGGGACTAATGAGATGCTCAATGAATGAGTTTTTACTATGCCTTTTCTGTCCTATATGATATTTCTCTTTTCTTGAACTCTACCTGGATGAAGGGGATTACAAGATGGACACTACCAGCCATGGGAAGGGTCTGTGAACATCGGCATAGTCAAGCAGGGGCACAGTCAAGCAAGTGAGGGAATGAGGGGATCATCACCAACCCCTTTGGCACACACTGGGCATCCTGATACATCATTTGAAACACAGAATTTTAGATTAGGATGGTTCCTTAAAAATATCTAGTCCAGCCTCTTTATTTTACAGATGAGTAAACTGATGCCCAAAGAGGTCACACAGCTAGTTAGAAAAAGAAGCAGAACTAGAACCCAGATCTCAAATCCAGGTTTCTCTGTACCTCTCCTCGGGACATTCCAGCCTCAGCTTTTCAAGGCCATGCACAATATTCACAGCATATAAACACATTTTCACACTGGTCTCTGTTTTCTGAAAGGAGGTGTGACCGAAAGCCAGAAGGCCAGAGTTCTAATCCTGGCACTGCCACTGACCAGCAACATGACTTTGGGCCCATTATTTAGCCTTTCTGTGTTAGGGTTTCCTCATCTTTAAAAGGGAGGTGATAATAGTATCTAGCTCATAGGGTTGTTATAAAGATTAAATGAGTCAATGCATCTAAAACACCCAGCACATCTAAAATGCCCGGCTCAAGATAAACTCCCAATCAATGTTCTTTTTCTCCAGCTAAATCATAAGGGTCTATATTCCCAGTGTTTTGCAAGTAGCAACTCTCAATGACTGCTTGAGACTTGAAAGAAATACTGAGTTTGCAGCTGAGGGTGGTACGTCAATGGCTTTAGCCAGATGAGAGCTGTCAGTCTCAACCAATCCAATCCCAGACTCTGAACTCTGTAATGCTCTACTGGAATTTCTTGTAGGCTGGAAGCACGGGCACCAAGACCACGGAACTTTGCCCGTCTTAAGAGATAAACTTTCTCTCTAAATCATAGAGACTGTGACAAGTCAGACCATGACATCTGGACCCCAGATTGCCTTGTATCTGCCCAAAGCAGCACTCAGGAGAAATGCTGTCTCATGGAATAGCATCATGGGCTGCTCAGCAGCTACTCTTCAGGGAGAACTCTACATTGCCGATCTTCTTCACCAAAAATGCTACAGGTCAAGCACTGGAAATGGTGCCTGGCACCCCATCTGCTCAATACTATTGGGGAGGTGAGGGCTGTGGTGGGAAATTGAGACAAGGAGCAGAGAAGCCACTTAGCCATGCACTTAGCCTGGCCAGGGTGTTCTCTTTCATCTAGAGTGCTTTTATCCTGATGGGGGTAGAGGCAGAAGGGGTTCTGTGCTGAGTGAGAAGCCTGTCTGGACCTCTGTGATCTGGGACAGGCATCCCATGGGCACTGGCTTCTTCATTTGTAAAAAGGAGCTGAACTACCTGTATCTCTACCAGCGCTAATATTCTGTGTTTCCCTAAGTCATTGTAGCCATTGCAAATTTCCTCTTGGAGAAGTCATCTTAGAAAGCAAACCTCTCCTGGGCAGTTCCTTGAAGCCCAGGAAGCTATTACTGTCAATAATTGGTTTTCCAAGCTGCTGGTTCTGCAGCTCTGAAAAGAGGGAACATGGGATCCAGAAAAAGGCCCTGTTCTGGTGAAACCAAGGCTTGGCTGGGAGCTGAGTCATTCTCCAAGCAACTTTTCCTTGCTCCTATTAGACTCGGAACTGCTAGTCACACCACCTACAGGTGGCATCCCTAACCTGATGCCCTTGACAGAGTCGTAGCAAATCACCAAAGCCCTAATTCTGAAACCACAGCATTAAGGATATTATTATGATGATGAAAAACATTACCAACTAGGATCGCAAGCTAAGTGTCTCGGTGGGCGAGAGCTAAAGAAACTTGCAAGCCCATTCCTCCAGACCAAGCCCAGCGCGGTGCAGCCCCCCCTTCGTCCCAGGCCCTCTTCTTGCCAGGCTAAGCGAGGCTCTTCCTGCACCCCCGACTACAGTCCTGGGGCGACTCCAGACTAGCAGACCTGGTTGCTACCCCCGCGCGTCCCACAAGCTTGCTTCGGGGGGATCTGAGCAATTACCACTAAATCCAAGCCCAGGGTAAAGCGACCAGAGGAGAACGAAGAGCGATCTGAAGACTAAAGTGGAAAGTCAGAATCACTGAGCTGCAGGCAAGCTTATCTTCCATCGCTCTCCTGGCTCTGCCGCTGCCTCTTCTGGGCAAAAGCAAAGCAAGCAAACGCAACCCCCAGCCCTCCCCTAAAGCCGACCTGAAAAAGGAAAGGCGGGAAGGTGTCTAAAACTGTTCCTCAGCCACAGACAGTCCCAGGATCATGGCCCAGAGAGAGAGACAGAAAGAAAGAGACAGGATTAACTCACTGCTGCTCCAGATCATCAGCCATAGTAAACAAGCCCTGCCGGGTCGAGCCAAACCAGCCCATCCCTCTGCCTGACGCCAGCACCAGCTGACCCAGAAGAGGATAGGATAACAAAGTGGGGCGTGGCCAGCGCCGCCGGGCTGGGGGCGGGGCCCCAGGGCGCCCACGTGGGTTCTGAACCTTGGCCCGTGAGCAAGACGGGTATGAGCTGTGTCAGATGTGTGACATGAGTCCAGGAATGTCCCTGGGGTCTCAGGGTAGGACGGTAATCCTGGCCACACATTTGGGGGACAATGAGGGAGAGAAGTAGTACTGAAACAACCGATTCCCTCACAGGAGCTCCATCAGCCTTCTGTTCTCTCATAATTAAAAAGTGACAGAACTACTCTTTGAGCCTCCTTATTATAGCTCACCTATAATTGATTCCGCCTCACCCCCACCCCGTGTCCCTTCTAATCAGATATTTAAGATATTTGTGGAGACAGCACCATTGGCTACAAAGGGCCTGGGGGCTTGTACCCCAAGTTGACTGCTGGATTTGGCAAATGAAAAACAGGACGCCTCAAGTTGAATTTCAGATAAACAACAAATACTTTTTTGGAATAAGTATGTCCCATGCAATATTTGTGACATAACTGGGCATCTCGTATTTTATCTGGCAACTGTAAACCTATGCGACATATGCCAACATGCAGTTCCTCTGTTCTGGAGATTTCCCAACCTAGTTCTCAGGGAAGATATGGCTCAACCCCAGGTCTGCCTCAGTTTGGAGAATCGCTGCCTCCCCTCCCCTCAGGAGGGGCAGCTGAAAGGCTAACCTACAAGGCTGGGTAGGCTTAGGTAGCTGGTATGGGCTGTGGGGGCATGGAGGCGGGTGGCTGGCTTAGTTCAGAGGTCCTGACTATACTTCGGGCTTGCTCAGCAGAGGAGCCAAATGTTGAGGCTGGATCCAGAATTTACCCGAACAGGTAAACAGGGCCTGTTGTCCAAGCAGCTGTCAGATTTTAGGTCATCCCCTTGGTTAGGTTAAAATGAGGCTGGGGGGTGATGGAGGGTGAGTGGGAGAATGCTGGTGCAGAGGGTTTGCCCAGGCATTTTTCTTTAGCCCTCCTGCAGAAATCAGGAGATTCTGAGGTTTCTTCTTTCTTGTAACATAGCATTAGGCGCCAGCCCCGTGGCTGAGTAGTTAAGTTCGTGTACTCTGCTTCAGTGGCCCAGGGTTTCGCCAGTTCAAATCCTGGGCAAGGACATGGGCACCACTCATCAGGCCATGCTGAGGCAGCATCCCACATGCCACAACTAGAAGGATCCACAACTAAAAATACACAACTATGTACCAGGGGGCTTTGGGGAGAAAAAAGAAAAATAAAATCTTTAAAAATATATATATAAACACAGCATTAAACTGATCTGATTGTCATTATGAGGGCTTAAGGTTTAAGAGAATGGGCATTTATAGAGCTTAGAGGTGTAGGAATTTATAAGATGTGGGGCAAAGTAGTAGAAATAGCAGAGGACCTGTCTCATTCATTCTTTCAACCAACTACAGTGGTCCTAAACTTCAGTGTGCATAAGAATCATCTGGAGGGCTTGTCAAAAATTCAGGTTTCCAATCCCTATGCTCTGAGATTCTAATTAATTTGGTTTGGCTTGATGCTAAAAGCTGCATTTTAAGGAAGCACTTCAGATGCTGGAGTTCAATGAGACTCACTGGTTAATAAGAAGCATGGTTTCTGGGGTCTGAAGTTTGGGTTAAGGTCAATCTTGGCTTTGCCACTTGTCCATTGTACGCCGTGAGTAAGTTATTTAGTGTCTTCTAATTTTCTTCCTCTGTCTTGTGTCTTGTGAGGATTAACCAAAATAAATTAACATTTAGTACATTTATTTATGCTAAAAATGTTACCTTTATTATTATTATCATCATCATTATTATTATATACCTATTCAAAGCCAAGCATTATGTTAGGCACTAAGAATACCATTATCAAAAGGAAAGAAATAGTCTGTTCTAGTGGTAAACATAGACTTTCTATCTGTTGCCACCCTAGGCTATTCGTCCCTTTGCAGAGCTGGCAACTTTGTACTTGAAGCTCAGCTCAAACCTCCCCCCTTCTGAGGCCTTTCCTGACCACAGGGTCTAAAAGAGAGCCCCCCACCCCAGTCACTCTTTCATTTTACTCTATCTTATTTTCTTCATAACACTTATGAAGTCATCATGCATATTTTTTTATTTATATATCATCAGTTTCCCTCCCCTGAAGCCTAAGTTTCGTGGGTGACCTTGTCTGTGTTTTTTTTTTTTGGAGGACGATTAGCCCTCAGCTAACTACTGCCAGTCCTCCTCTTTTTGCTGAGGAAGCCTGGCTCTGAGCTAACATCCGTGCCCATCTTCCTCTAGTTTATACGTGGGACGCCTACCACAGCATGGCTGCCAAGCAGTGCCATGACCGCACCCGGTATCCGAACCAGCGAACCCCGGGCCACGGAGAAGCGGAACGGGCGAACTTAACCGCTGCGCCACCGGGCCGGCCCCGACCTTGTCTGTTTTATTCTCTGCTTTGCTACCAGCACCTAGCACAGAGTAGATGCTCAGTACTTATTGGATAAATAAATGGATGAAAAGTCTAGTGAGGAGGCAGATATGTAAACAGTTACCTATAAAACAATATGCTGGGGCCGGCCTCGTGGCTGACTGGTTAAGTTTGTGTGCTCTGCTTTGGCAGCCCAGGGTCTCACTGGTTTGAATCCTGGGCACAGACATGGCACCGCTCATCAAGCCATGCCGAGGCAGCATCCCACATGCCACAACTAGAAGGACCCACAACTAAAAATACACAACTATGTACTGAGGGCTTTGGGAGAAAAAGGAAAAATAAAATCTTTAAAAAAAAAAAAAACCAAGCGAAAAACCAACATGCTAAGCGTCAAGGGTTTTGGGAGCTGTATTCTAAATTGTCCCATATAGGAAATTCCTGGCTATATCACTCTGAGACAGGGCAACAAAATCTCCCACTTTTCTGAAACCCTGTAAGATGGAGAACGTTTTGAGGAAAGGGTGACCTGGCTGGAACTGGTATTAGATAGATCTCCCTGGACCTCCCCTCAGGAGGCAGTGCAGAGAAGCATTTGTACTTTGTTTCTATGTGCCAAACCAGCTTTAGAGTAGAGGTTTCTTGCGTTGGGGAGGAAGATTTTTCCTCTACCTTTCAAAGGTTCTTTTGGCCAGTCTAATAATCTAATTGACATGAGACTGATTAACAGGAAAAAAACAAATTTATTTATTTATTTTGAGGAAGATTAGCCCTGAGCTAACATCTGTTGCTAATCCTCCTCTTTTCGCTGAGGAAGACTGGCCCTGAGCTAACATCCATGCCCATCTTCCTCCACTTTATATGTGGGACACCTGCCACAGCATGGCTTGCCAAGCAGTGCCAGTGCGCACTTGGGATCCGAACTGGTGAACCCTGGGCCACTGAAGCAGAATGTGTGCACTTAACTGCTGTGCCACTGGGCCAGCCCTGAGAAAAACAAATTTAATTTCTACATACGGGAACCCCATATACACGAGAGGTTCAAGGACAAAAAGGTAAAATGAGGTATATATGCCATCCTGAGCTAAGAAATGGGATGGGGGCGCTGGCCCCATGGCCGAGTGGTTAAGTTTGCTTGCTCCGCTCCTGCGGCCCAGGGTTTTGCCGGTTCAGATCTTGGGAGCAGACATGGCACCACTCATCAGGCCATGTTGAGGCGGCATCCCACATGCCACAACTAGAAGGACCCACAACTAAAAAAATATATACAACTATGCACTGGGGGGATTTGGGGAGAAAAGACAAAAAAACCCCACATTGGCAACAGTTGTTAGCTCAGGTGCCAATCTTTAAAAAAAAGAAAGAAAGAAAGAAAAAAGGAATGGGATAGGGTTCTGGGGCCTCAAAGGGGAGGAAGACAATTCACAGGATGATAAGAGGAAGAGCAGATGTTTGGTAATCAGATATTTGCCCTGCCATACAGATGGGTCACTCAGATAAAATTTATTTCTGGTAATAAGTTTCATTCTGGGAAAGACTCCCAATTTAAATTCTTCTAGGTAGCTAAGGGAGGGGCAAAAATTTCTCTTGAGCTTCCAGGGTCTCCATTGCCTTTAGCTCACAAAAATGCATATGCCAAAGTGGCACATTTTGGGGAGGCTTATTCTGAACCCCTTCACTTGGAAGTAGGAAACTTGAAGGTATGGAAAATGCCTTTTATAACCAAAGTTAACAGATCCCTTAAGGTGTCCCGAGAGCTGGGATATCTCAGGATTGGGCTGGATCTGCTAGAATTATAGAGTGGAGAAGACTCTCAGTGCCTGCTCTGGGCAGGCTTCTGGGGAGAAATGTAAGGTATTTTTTCCCCTTGTATTCAAGACAAGACACACTATGCACAAATATGAAAGAATACATCTTCCTTCTACCTACAACATGTGTGATTAAAGTATTAATATGGTCTTTATGGATGGAAACTAATTTTGACAAACTCTCTTTCCTGTACCTGTAAGTCACATTAAATATTCCAGAAGTAGGTGGAGCTGATAATCTGATAGCCCAGGCCTGGCAGGGATAGATCATTCTCTGGTTTCAAATGGGTGTTACTGACTTTTGAATGAACTATGAACAAGGTGTGACCTTTAGATTAAACACAGGAGCTGAGTGGAATAGTTCTAGAATTGTTCTATCCAATATGATAGCCACTAGCCACATGTAGCTAGATTTAAATTGATAAAAATTAAATAAAACTTCCTTAGTCACACTAGCTATATTTCAAGTGCTCAATAGCCACATGTGTCTAGTGGCTACCATGTAGTACCAAGTGCACAGAGACACTGTCATCATCACAGAAAATTCTGTTGGACAATGTTGCTCAAGCAGTGATGATTTAGGCTCCACGTTGTGGAGTGTTCTGCCCTCGGAAAGGACAATATGGTAGACTCTGTCTTGGGTGCAAGGGATGGCGTGAGACTGAGGAGTTCTCTTTATGGGACTCCCAAAGACTAGGAGGGAAGGAATTCAGAAAAACAAGCCTGCAAATTTGTTCTACTCCTTCAGGGAGTGCTAGGAGTTATGTTAGGATGAAAGGTTATGGACTC